GCCTTGGCTATTGGTATATTTGGTGTTTGGTGGAGTTTTGGGTAGAATTGCAGAAGGGAGTTTACTCCTGTTTAGGAGTCCCAAGTTCCCTGGCTCTAAGAATTTTCCACTTGTGAGGAAACAGTTTTTTTCATCTTGTGGGTTCTTATACAGCTGGTCTCTCTGTTTTAAGTACTCAGTTTTGTGATTCTTGGRCTTGTATTTTACCATCCAGTTCTGGTATTYATAGAGTGGATATGGTAGAATGAACAAATACCAAATGAATTTACAAACCATGAATGAGATGAAGCTAAAGAATAGAATTCAGAGATTACAAACTCATGTCTAGAGTAATTGAACAAAACAAGGATGTGAGAAATCTAGGGATTGATTGATAAGATATATTTTGTTAGTATCAACTAGAGGCACTTTATGTTGGGTTAAATGATCAAACCCTTYAAAGGTTTTGAACACCAACAAACTGGCTTACACTGCTGAAATATTTGGGGTTACATTATTTTGCACTGGATCCATCCTGTAAATATTCTTAAATACACATTTCAACCACTTTTTTCTACTCTTTTTGCTGCTCATTAAAGTCTTTCATGTAGGTGCCAGAATCATATATATAAACAACTTTATAAAAAAGCTGGTATTTTTTTAAACAAAAAGCCATAGAATTTGGTCATGTTTCCATTTTAAAATGATTTATTGAAACAAGGTAATACTACTAAAAACCCACAGGCACCAAATAGGTTGCTTTAAATGGTCTTGCAAAAGACATTTTTAGGTAATGGAATAAAACTTAAAGTTTTGCACTTCTGTAAATTAAGGGGGAAACAGTATGTCACCACTGGGTATGGTAGACAGGACTCACTTAAGTACTTGTGTGTAATTTGGGAAAACATTCRGTGGCATGTTGTTCAAAGAACTAGTGTCTAAGAATCTTCTCTCAGTGTCATGTTGCAGGAATTTCCCATTGCTCTGCGACTTCCAAACAGTTTGAGTCATACAAATGTTTTCTAAACTTTTATTGTATTACTGCAATAAATCTTTTAACATTACTTTGCTAATGTCTTTTTCAAACTTACTTCAACTACTACATTGAAGGTAGCAAGAATGAAAGCTAGTGGGGGATACATACACACACACACACACACACACACACACACATACTTTTGGGGGGGGCAGGTAAGGAAAAGTGTTCTGTTAATACATTCATTAATTATATATCATGGTGGTATTAATAACAATTCATCCTTGGCAAGCTGAGAAAATTGATTGCTTACCAGTTTCTTTGGCAGCCATAGTATGTGTGTGACTTATAATAATTTGGTTTTTTACAACAGACAAGAGTGGGCCTCCAAGGTACCCAGATGCAACCAGCAAGAAAAAAAATGTTAGAAGAGACTGAGTAGTTTTGAAGGATTCCGCTCCCCACCCACTCATGGTACTTTTCAGGTTATTGTGGAGAGAGGATAACAAGTGGCTGCTTTAGAAGAGCCTGGCTTGCCAGGAGAAACACTGAGGCACTGCTACCATGTCACTCCCAACCCTTTAATTGGAGTAGGCCATCCAGGAACAGGAGGAATAGGCAAGGAAGTGAAAGGCTTCTCCAACAGGCTGTGAGAAATTCCCCATCCCTAGAGTTAAATAATGGTTGATGCAGGAAGCACAGAAAATTTGCAAGTGGACTCGAACAAGCCATCTGCACCTTAGTTGTGAAACTCTCAATAAGGAAAACCATCATCTCCCCCCATTCTGAGATCTGGTGAGAAAAAAAACTGAAAAGTTACATAAATGAATTTTTTTTAAAGGAGCAACCAGTGGGGAAAACTCAAAGATGTAACATAATAAGAGCCATATCAGTGATTTTTTTTTTCATGAGCTTTTGTAGGAAGGAGTCATAGGGAGAGTGGAAATGTGATGGAGACTTTAGCCCATCAGGGGGAAATTGGCAGGAGCTATTTAAGGACACTAGGTAAGCAATGAACAGGCTAGAGTCAGGTGAGTGAAAAATCCTCAGGGGTTGTAAAGGTCCTGTGGCTGAGGCATTGATTGATCTCTCCTTATCATTGTCCCTTATCCCCACATCCTTGTGTATGCCATTTTAGAATTTTCTGTATGACTTTAAGATGAGGACTAGAATTTGAGGAAAGTGCTTTCCTGCCCTTCCTAGCAGCTTATTTTCTGGAATGTAAGTGCTATGATTTGTGATTATTAGATGGGAAGAGGCATCTCCAGCATAAGGTTGATTAAAGAATGATAGGAGCAGAGCACCTGTGATCAGCAATTTAATAGTTGCCTTCCAAATAGGGAGGACTATGTCTAGTGACTATGGGGAGAAACACCTATATTCTGGTGCAGGGGCCATTGGTACTATCTTAAGGGAATTCTGCTACCCCCTTCTTGATGGCCTTTGAATGCCATTCCACCCACTACAGCCTGAGCATTTAGAGTTCACCATGCCAGAGCCCTTTTGTGCTTCCATCTCTCCAGATCCTTGCTACCCTGTCTTCCTTTGAACTGAAGAATCAACATCACCTGAGAGCTTGTTAGAAATACAGATTTTGGGGTACCATCTCAGACCCACTGTCAGAATCTCCAGCAATTCACCTGTGCATTAATGTATAAAGAACACAGATATAGAGTTACAACTGTCAGATGGAAATAATGTAACCCCTATGTGTGGCTCTCATTTAAGAGAGTTGAGAAATGTAATTTATAAAGTGTTATTCAACATTCTCATATTGAAAAAAAATGGATACCTGGTTAAGTATTTTATAGTACATCTCAAATGGGACTAGCCAATTTCAAGTGTTGAATAGCTACCTGTGGCTAGTGGCCTCCATAGGATGGCACAGCTTTTGCTAGAGTTTAGTGAGCACCTTCTCAATTATGCATTAAGGGCCTCCCAAAGTTCATCAAGTTTAGGAAACAGGTTCTTTCTGTTGGCATTTCAGTTCTTTCTCCCTTCCCAGCTGCAACTCTAGTGGCTCTGCTCCCCTTAAATAGCACAGGGTCAAAACCACCATCTAGAATTGAGGCACTGCTACCATGTCACTCCCATGGAGAGGAAGGATGACGCCTTGCTGTGGTTTTGCTTAAACGAATTTGATATAAACACTCTGGACATCGCCCAGGGTGCATAACCACAATGTTTGCTCCTCCCATGAGCTTGTGCAAACATCAGCTATGACCACAAATTTCATAGTGAGCATTTCAAAAGGGACTGCACCTTTCCAGCACAGGTAGTTCCACCAACTCAGAAAAGATTGCAACACTAGCTTAACAATGAACCCAAAGGAAAGATGGGGCTAGAAAGGATCTGATTCCACCGGTGCCTGACACTGTGCAGTAGAAAATACATTTAAACACAACATAGTAACTGATATTTGGCTTAAATAACTAGCTCTTATTGTTGCCAACTGCAGTGTACAGAAAGAAGAGATTTGGTACAAGGTGGTGACAAGTCCCTTACAGTGGTGGCTGGGAAAAGCTTAGGACATGACCCCTAAGGTCATGCCATAACCATCAGCATGCAGCTTTTGGCAATAACAGAGCCTAGATTATACCAAATGCTTGACAATGACTGTTAAAGAACCACTCCTCCCCTCACCCATGGGTGTTATGGGAGCTTCCCTATATACAAAATGCTCCCATGTGACCAGCGATGAACAGAGGAAGATCACCCAAGACCCTCTCTGTCCCCCACCTCAAGGTTCTAATCCTAGATTGAAAATTAATATTATTGCTCTGAACAGCACAACCTGCCAATACCCCTCACATTAAGAGCGTCACTAACAAGGCATGCAGACATTTTACAGAGGGTGTACCACATGAGGCGCTKAGGGTAGTGGTACAAACTAGTGGTTTCCAAGTCAGTGCAGTGGTCAGAGGTTCATATGCAGTGATATATAGGAGGAGCATGTGATGGTCTATATGCACAGAGTTTTGGAAGACAAGTGGTCCACCATGGTGAGTGGACGTATGGGGTGGATCTCAGAAGGAGGTACTGCCCCAGTCTGGGTGGGCACAATTCGTGAGCCATTTATCAAGCAGGGATGAACTTTAGTTTTAGAACACACGCTGCACCATGTGACCTCTTCAGGAATTCCCTCAGAGCCTAACTGCCACCACCGGCTCTTCCTGCCCTTGAGGCCGATTGGCTGGGTCATGTGGGCGGAGCCAAAGAATCCCCCAATGAGCAGCTCCGTGGTCTGAAAGGGCGGGGAAACAGCCCAATGAGCATCACCACAGAGGAGCCAATCAGCTGGAAGTTTGCTGGGGCACGGTGAGCCAATCAGCTGGAAGTTTGCTGGGGCGCTTGGGCTGTGGCTCTCAACAAGGAACCT